GGCTAACTACAAATTGGAGAGGAGTAGCGCCTCCAGTGTCTTAGATACTGGCGTCAGAAGTGAAATGAACCTGAACGGTTCACCTTTGCTAGCATCCTTAAAAACCTTCAGTAGCGGGACTACCCTACCTAGATTTATAGAACTATGTGGGTGGCTAACGACAAATTGAGGGCCTGGAGTTGAATGGACTTCAGGTCCATTCAACTGTTTATGCATTACCATGGAAATTCCATCCGGGTATAACGCTTTGGATTAGCCTCAGTTTCAGACTCCGCAAGAGTCAATTATTTTTATATTTTTTCCTTTATAAAATTCAACATGTCAGTACTTCCTTTTCTAAAACATAAAACGGCATTTATATTAAAACTTTTTACCGAGTTAACCTACATTATGTGGATTTATATATAATGGAATTGGCAATTTAAACTCACCAAATTCGGTATAATGTATTATAAACCCATAAATCTTATTTCTAATATATTATTACTTTCCTTACAGCTATGTTCTGGAACTTCCCGCCGAAGCCAAAAATATTGCTGCGGAACATGGTTTCGAGATCAAAGGTTATCGTATTACCGCCAAGGAGGAACAAATGCGTAAACCACGTCTTGTAAAAATTGGTGCCATACAAAATTCGATTGTACTGCCCACACCTACTCCACTGGAGAAGCAACGTAAAGCCATATGGAAAAATATGACAACAATGATTAAAGCCGCTACACCGGTTGGTGAAATACATCAGGTGTTATATCGAATAGTGGTCGTTATATGGGTAAACATTGTAAAAATCATATACCACGTGTTGGCGATTTCAATGAAGCCACCTATTATAGGGAGGGTAACACTGGCCATCCTGTCTTCGAAACAGAATTTGGTAAAATTGCCATTAACATCTGTTATGGTCGTCATCATCCACAAAATTGGATGATGTTCGGTTTGAATGGTGCTGAAATTGTGTTCAATCCTTCGGCAACGGTGGGAGCGCTAAGTGAACCTTTGTGGTCAATTAAGGCTCGTAATGCTGCCATTGCAAATAGTTATTTCACAGTTGCCATTAATCGTGTGGGTAATGAAGAATTTCCCAATGAATATACATCGGGTGATAGCAAACCGGCTCATAAGGTATTTGGACCATTTTATGGTTCCAGTTAAGTAGCGTCACCAGATGGCTCGAGAACACCGGTAAGTTGATAACAATGTTTGCGTTTTTATTTGTAGAGGTTGGCAATCTCGTTTCTGAAGCTGTTCGATATTTTTCGGTTTCCTTCGCAAAATGAACTAGGTAATTTAGTCACTTTAGTTTATTTTAGTTCAATCGTTCAATGGTACACGTCAGTTAAGTTACCGATCATTCCTTTTAGGGAATAGTTCATTTGGCTGGAGCAACAGGAACTAGAGGAACGAAATAAACGGATCTAGTACCAATCGTTCCTTTTGCGGAATATTTCATTTGGACTTTTGCGTTCCAGAACGATATTTTATTAATTTGAGAGAGGTTAAAAGAATTGTATATAACGGTTCACATCCAGTGATTTTAGCCTCATAGATCCACTGGACGCATATTCCAATTCCAACAATAACTGTTTATATGTTTCCCCTTAGTTTGATTAATGCGACTCTCTGTAAAAATTCCAATAATATTAACTTTAAATGCAAATACGTCAAGATAGTGTTCAAAATATTAAACGTTTTTTCTTCTTCTTATGAGCTTGTCACGTGATCAAGATGGTCTCCTTATATCCGAAGTTGATTTGAATTTATGCCGCCAAATTAAGGGTTTCTGGACATTCCGTATGACTCAGAGGCTGGACTTGTATGCCGAGTCATTTACGTGCCTCAAAATTAGATTTTAAGCCACAAATTATTAAAGAATAGTTCATAAATATTTATGTACATACATATATTTTTTAAATAAAAAATACTTTTAAAAATTTAAAGTACACATAATACACTAGAAAGGGATACCATACGCTTGAAGTCAACCGGTTAGTAGATAGCACTAAACGTGGTATCAGACAAAACACCACCAAAGTGTAAATTCTATCCCACATTGTTATATAGCATACAAAGAGCGATGCTAGGCCGTGGAAGATGTTTAACGAGAGATGAACCTCTTCTTCTCCTTAGGAGAAGCCTGATTTACTCCAATTTTACTTCTGTCACTAAGGAGTTACTCCCGTCTATGAGAATTATGACAATACGGGGTATTACACACCTGATCCTGTGTAAGCACTAATTTTTTTATTATTATATATGGCAATAAAATCACTGCTTTACAAACACTCATAAAGATCGATCGGGAATCAGCGAAGAAATAATTGTAAGCATAGGTCACTTATTTGGCCCAACAACGAACCCTATTGAAATTGGGAAAAATCGGTTCAGATTTAAATATAGCTCCCATATATATTTTCGTGCGATTTAATGTAAATGGGGCAACAAACTCCATATATATCTTTCGATTTGCACTAAATTTGGTACATCGTAATGATTAGGTCTGGAATGATGTGTTTTAAGTTTCCTGAAATCGATTCAGATTTAGATATAGCTTCTATATCTGACCAAATAAAAAAATTAGTGTTGGTTGCAGAATGACATGTTTATAAATCCAATTTCATTTCACTTGTCCTTTAAAAATACAACGTCTGTTAGGATTCATCTGTTGAATATACCCAACGTGGTGAAGGGTATCATATAGTCGGCCCCGCCCGACTTTACTACTTTCCTTACTGGTTTTATTATTAAACATGGAGATGGAGAAAGAGCTAGATTTTTCCATAGGGTCTTGGGAAAAAGACTAGATAAGGAGTTCAACTCAATATGTACATATTTAACGGAAAATACCTTACTCTATTTCTTCCAGGCAGGATTTATGGCCCAGCTGAAGAAAAAGAAAGATGACGGAACGAATCTTGGAAGCAGGAACAAGAATGTACATGATAATTATGATGTTTACCTCATTGTAGAAGAAACCAAGGTGATGAAGTGGCATTTGGGGTGAAAAAGGAATGCAGCTTGCCAACGCTCGATGGTAATTTACATTGTGTTGTATTTAACTTGTATCTAACTCCTCCAGATTTAGAAAACCAGTTAAGCTCTAACATGTTGGAGGGATGTTGACGCATAGGAAAACATGCAAAAACGGGAAAAACATAGTTAACGCGGGAACAGAAGAAGAAAGTTTCAAAAAATCCAAGGTGTAAAGGGACACATTGAAGATTCCATAAAATATGAAATGAAACATCAAACATTATACTCCATGTGCATTATCGTAGGAAGAAACCTCCGGTTAATGAAGAGGGGAAGAAGAAATTGCCTAAGAAAAACGTTGTTGCCTGTATAATGAAAGTAGTATATCAATGTGGAGGAACTTTTGATGGAGGCTTTATAGATAATTGACTGCGGTGACTTGTGGGTGCTGTTACCTAGAGACTGTGGAGTCAATTTATTGTTCTTAATTATAGTTCATGCTTTGAAGAGAAATTTAATTTGTCAGCTCTTCTTGCCAGCCATCAGCATGTTCAAAATACTTTGAACATCATTTTGGTATTACAGAAGATTTGATCGTTGGAGTGTTTTATGACAAGAGTCTAAAATCCCACATGCAACGCTGATAAGATTTTATTACGCACACGATGGGAAACCCCTCCACAGATCAAATTCTATTATTAGAACAAATAGTTTGATAAGTATGGTGTGTTTGAGACTAAGCCAGCAGATGTTGATGAAACGTTCGGAAACCATGTTTGGGGCCTGTCTCATTTGGAGTGGAAAAAGTGATTCGACAATTGGTTTGATTATTAGGCCAGAATTATATGTATATATGGTTATCCTCATATGTTCCGATATTTAAATATATGTATGTGTGAAAGTCGGTGTCCCTCTGACTGAATTGTGTTTGCTTTAAACGGTATATACATTACAGCTTTTTACCGGGTTAACCTTCTTTATGAGGATTTATTTGACATATATGCAAAGGAATTGACAATTGAAACCCACTAGGTTAACCAAATCCGGTTTAATGTAAACGTACTATTACTTTGTGGAGTGTATATTATTGTATGATCATGACGTCAGATTCCATCATTGATGACATTTGTGAAAGAATTGATTGAGACCTGCTAGAACGCTGTCCTGCAGCAGAGTGTCTGCTCATGACACCTGTGAAGTATATATTTATGAGAATACGAAGATTATACTAGTCAATATGGCAGGTACGATCTTCTTTATCTAGAGAGGCCCAAAGGTATACGAATAAACGACTAGGTGTTCGCACCTATCATAGAGGCTCATATGAATGTTGTATTTGGCGACCATTCCCCGCAATTGTAGCAGATTAACCTAAATCGACAAAGAAGACGAAAGTGGCGATCGACTCAATTCGTATGGGATAAGGATTCATCACGCAATACTTAACACATGTCCAGCAATTAAACTAGAACCACACGACACATTTTCTAAACCCATACACCTGTCTTCGTCACATTCTACGCGCGACTAATACAGGTTCCAAAGTTTTTGAAATTGGAAATAGACAAGACAGATTGATGAAAATAAAAGTTCTTTTATAATTTACTAGTTAGTTTTGGGAGAGCGACAAGTAAAAACGTCGCTAGTTTCGACTGGGTTGAATTTTTTTTATACCCACCACCATGTGATGGGTATTAAAAATATTTGTAAAATATCAGAGCTCTATCTAAATTATTGCGATCTGTATCGAGATTTCAACAGACGGAAGGACAGACAAACATGGCTAAATCGACATAGCATTTTGTTCAGAGCAACTTTTATGGGGTCTTCGATAGCTTTGTTGAGGTGTTGCGAACGGAATGGTAATTTTTTTCCAAGTTCTTCCTATATTCTAATTCTAAACGTATTGTGGAAATGGTGTAAAAAATAAATAAAAAAGATTTGAATAAAAACACAAAATTGTGACATTTAAATATGTTAATAAAAATCCGCAAAAACAAATACCTCTAAATTTCAACACCGCGAACAAAATGTGTTTCGGAGCACTGTTGCAGAAATATTTTCGCAAAAAGAAATGCCGATCTGAAAATATAGCCCAACATTTAATGTCCAATGACTCTATATTCAGTATTGGAAGTTCTCTGATTGCCACCAAAAGTAGTTCAATGCCCATTACAGCGCCTACTCCTCCTCCCGATCCACATATAATTATAATAGGTGCGGGAGCCGCGGGATTATCATGTGCCACAAAACTTCTAGAATTTGGATTTAAAAATCTTTTAATACTCGAAGGTGAAAATCGTATTGGCGGTCGAATATTTACCCAACAATTTGCTAATAATGTAATCGATTTGGGTGCCCAATGGGTCCACGGTGAGAGGGGAAATATTGTCTATGAAATGGTACAACAGCATGATTGGCTCGAAACGACCGGAGAAATTTATAACAGCTTCGAGTGTATACGCTCAAATGGTGAGGTGTTGAGGAAGGACACAACGGATTTTTTAAAGACGTTATTGACAAGAATTTTGGAAAATCATTCGGAGGAGTTGAATAGCTTCGAAGGTTCGTTTGGTGATTTTCTCAATGAACGTTTTCAAGAAGTTTTAAGAGATTTATCGGATACAAAAATTGACAAGGAAGTGGCATGGGAATTTTTGGAGAATTTCAAAAAAATTGAAAGTTCCGAAACCGCCTCTGGCATGGAGGAAGTATCGGCTAAGGGTATCCACGAATATTGGCAATGTCCGGGTGATTATCTGTTGAATTGGAAAGATAAGGGTTATGTGCGATTCCTACACCAGCTAATGGGTTCTAATGAGGAACGACCTTTTGGTGAACTGGAAGACCGAATTAAATTCAATTGTCCCGTGGAGCACATTCGTTGGCATTTGGGAAATGGCAAGGTGATAGTACGCTGCTGCAATGGTTCACAGGAATATGAAGCTGACCATGTGATCATCACCGTATCCTTGGGAGTATTAAAAGACAAACTGGAATCAATGTTCCACCCTCCACTGCCAATGCAAAAGAAACTAGCCATTGTTGGGTTGGGATATGGAAGTGTTGGTAAAATTTTCCTTGAATTTCCAGTACAATTCTGGCCCACAGATTGGTATGGCTTTACAATGCTGTGGTTGAAACGCGACCTGGAAGATTTACAACGTACCCCCTATGAATGGGTAGAAGAGATTTTTGGTTTCTATTGTGTTAATTATCAACCCCGGGTCCTATTAGCCTGGATTGTCGGTTCGTATGTTGTGAAATTGGAGCAAATGCCAGAAGATCAAGTAATAGACGGTTGTATGTATTTGCTGAGACGTTTTCTTTGGAAATGGGAAATTCCCCAGCCGTTGAAAGTACAAATTAGTCGCTGGCAGTCGAATTCGAATTTTCTGGGAGCCTACTCTTTTCGTTCGATGTTAAGTGAACAGCTGAATGTTTCGGCTCTGCAATTAGCCCAACCATTGACAGTGCAAATGTCAGAAATTCCCGCTAATAAAAGTTGTTCATCGACGTCAGTTTTTAGTCAGGGACCTGTTGCCGATGATGCGGCGAATGAAGCCGCTGCCATTTGCTCGAAAAATATGAAACCCGTTTTATTATTTGCCGGCGAGGCCACTAGCAGGCATCATTTCTCCACCGTTCATGGAGCTGTTGAGTCCGGCTATCGGGAGGCTAATCGTTTAATTAACTTTTATAGGAAAGAATAAATTTAACTGTTTTGATTTTTTTAAATTCTGTTTTTGAAATTCATAAAAAAACTTTGTTACAGTTCTGTTTTACTTAATAGTGAAGTAATAGTGAAGTGGAAGATCAATAACTCAAAAATACACAAAAAGTACGGGTCCAGAATTGGTTGTAATTTGGTACTTTGGGTTCAAATTGCTTACCACATCTTTCTACCAAAAATTATCTTTGGTCCCTGTTTTAGGATATCCCCATATATCGATATCTTCTTGTATGTTCGGTATTTTGACACGTTTTTCATTTGAATTAGCTGTAATTTGTTATTTTAATTTCTCATTGGGTTGTAAAATCTCATTACAATGATATTGTCTTTTTAGAATAGCCCCGGTATAACAGTATCCCCCAATTTCGGCATTTTGGGGAGTACAAACACGTTTTTCAACCAAATTGGCCGTAGTTTGGTATTTTGAATTATTATTGGGTAGCAAATCCTCCTGGTAAAAATTCGAAAAACTACTAAATTAAATGTAAAGTTTTACAACAGGTGTGCCCAAAATAGGTCCCATGGGCTGTCGGTGTGTGTCAAAACTCTCACACACACAATGATAAAAATAGAAACATTTGAAAACAAAAAATATTTTCAAAATTGTCATTCATTCCTTTTTGTTTTCATACACTGAACGAAAAAATTAGGATATTTTTGGCAAAAATTAGTTCAGAAAAAGTCGAAATATGTGACCAATACAATGGGGATTGGCGAAAAAGAAGCAAATCTATCTTTATATAGGAAAATATATCATTAACAAGCATATTTGCATTGAATACAAAATGTTCTTCTGTCTTAAAATTTGAAATACAAGTTTTTACAATTTTTCTCACAGTTTAACAAGAGAGAAACATAAATTTGAAAATTGTGTATTTGAAACAAATACAATAAGAAACATTTGCATGTATTAGTGTGGACAGCCCTGTTTTACAACAATGTTCAATAAATGAGAGTCAAATGGGAAATGAGAACATTTACATACAAAACTTGAAGCAAATTACATTCAGCCAATCAGAATTCAACATTTTGAAATATTAATAAAAATATTTGTTTACTTTTTGAAATTCTGGTATAAAAATATAAGATTTTTGAATGAAAAATAATTCCAAATGCTGTTTAAATCAACTTATGGAAATGATACAAGTCGTGGATAATTTTTCAGTTGTTTTAGTGGCCTCTATGGACTTCAAATTATATTTAAACTAGTAAGGAAAGCAGTAAAGTCGGACGGGCCGACTATATGATACCCTTCACCACGTCCTAACAAACGTCGCATTTTTAAAGGACCATTCATCATCATTCTGCAACCGATACTAAATTTTTCATTAGGTCAGATATAGAAGCTATATATAAATCTGAACCGATTTTCAGGAAACTTAGCACACCTCATTATATACCTAATTCATTACGCTGTGTCAAATTTAGTGCAAATCGAAAGATATTAAGGGGCTTTGGTGGACCTTTTACATTAAATCGGACGAAAATATATATGGTAGCTATATCTAAATCTGAAGCGATTTCCACGAAACTTAACAGACATCATTCTATACCTAATTCATTACACTGTGCCAAATTTCGTGCAAATCGAAAGATATATAGGGACCTTGGTGCACAATTTGCATTAAATCGGACGAAAATATACAGTGGTGGTCACAGAATTAAAACATTTACTGTGGTAAACATATATCGATCAGCCCTCGATTAGTTTGAAGTATTTTTGAAAAATTTTTCATTCAGAACACTTCGATATACTGCACTTAAGAGATTTAGTGTGAAAATAGAAAATTTTTGCATGCAATTTTTCCATAAATAACGGTTCTTATGAAAATACCTCGACTTTGAAGTGGCCATATAATTAAAACATTGTGTGGGATTTTTTACTTTACTGCATTTTTTGAAAATATTTTTAGAAAAGCTCTTTAATTTACTTAAATTATGTAAACTAAGCACCGATAAAATCATGTACAGATACAAATTTTTGAAAAAAATCTGTAAAATCTATCAAAATTGCCAGCAATTTGTACAGTACACCTTACGTTCAGAAAATCACCCTTATTATAGAAAATAAAGGTCCGAATGCACCAGAAATTGCTAGAATTAGTAGAAAATAATTAATAATTCTCAAAATAAAGAAATATTTGAAATAAAAACTCAAAAAATTGGAATTTACCTAAAGGAACGATTCAATTTCAATAGCCTTTACTGAAGAAGGCCGGAATATTTTTGCAGTATGTGAGAAAAAATCGATTGATATTGGCATTTATTATATCAAATCGACTGTTCGAGTAGTAGGGAATATATTTTATCAAAAAATATATCTGTCAGAACAGAACGAACAGAGATAAACGCCTAGGTTGACGAGTAAAAGTTTCTGGCACACAGCAGCATTTTTGATGTTCAACACAAGACTTCAAATATTTGTCAAACTGTACAATTTTTACTTCCTTGATACTAAAATAGATTAAGTGGAAGTTATTCGAATCAAAAAATATTATTTTGGAAAAATATTTTCATGTTCAATAGATTTTAAGGGTCAAGAGTTGACCATCAAACATGCTGCTGTGTGCCAGAAATAATAAATACCAATATCAATCGATTTTTTCTCACATACTGCAAAAATATTCCGGCCTTCTTCAGTAAAGGCTATTGAAATTGAATCGTTCCTTTAGGTAAATTCCAATTTTTTGAGTTTTTATTTCAAATATTTCTTTATTTTGAGAATTATTAATTATTTTCTACTAATTCTAGCAATTTCTGGTGCATTCGGACCTTTATTTTCTATAATAAGGGTGATTTTCTGAACGTAAGGTGTACTGTACAAATTGCTGGCAATTTTGATAGATTTTACAGATTTTTTTCAAAAATTTGTATCTGTACATGATTTTATCGGTGCTTAGTTTACATAATTTAAGTAAATTAAAGAGCTTTTCTAAAAATATTTTCAAAAAATGCAGTAAAGTAAAAAATCCCACACAATGTTTTAATTATATGGCCACTTCAAAGTCGAGGTATTTTCATAAGAACCGTTATTTATGGAAAAATTGCATGCAAAAATTTTCTATTTTCACACTAAATCTCTTAAGTGCAGTATATCGAAGTGTTCTGAATGAAAAAATTTTCAAAAATACTTCAAACTAATCGAGGGCTGATCGATATATGTTTACCACAGTAAATGTTTTAATTCTGTGACCACCACTGTATATGGGAGCTATATCTAAATCTGAACCGATTTTCCCCAATTTCAATAGGGTTCGTCCTTGGGCCAAATAAGTGACCTATGCCAAATTTCATCCAAATCGGATCATAAATACGACCTGTACTTTGTTCACAAAAATACATGGACGGACTGACGGACATGCGTAAATCGACTCAGAAAGTGATTCTTTGCATATTCTCAAAAGGAACCATGTGTCTATCTCGTTTCCTTTTGCCTGTTACACAAAGACATAAAAAGTAAATAAATAAAGACATGCAAAAATGTTTTGGTGTCAATTTCTTCAAAGCAAATGAAAAAAAAAAATAATTTCTGCAAGAACCAAAAAGGCCGCAACATAGAAAATATTCTGGATGAATGTTTATGTATGGATATTATTTCAAAAGATGGTATTGAAAACAGCATTTGTCTATATTTTGGAATAGTCCTCTCAATGGCCAATTTCGATGTCTATTCTTTTTCTCCTTTTTTGTTCTTTTTTTTTCAACTGTTTTCAATTTCTATTTTTTTATTTTTAGGGCGAATTAAAAAAATAAATTGTTGTGACATTTAAGGTTACAATCACCTTTGATACGGTTACCTTCTTAATATACCTTGACACATTTGAATATAAAAAATGTCAAGGTGTATTTAATAAGGTCTAAGTGACAATCATATGGTTTCAAACTTTTTTCTTTTTTGTTTGTAACAAGGAGTTTACATTAGAACTTTTTACCGGGTTAACCTACTTTATGAGGATTTATTTGACTTATATGCAAAGGAAATGACAATTGAAACACACTGGGTTAACGAAATCCGGTTAAATGTAAACGTACTGTAAAGAAAATTGTCAAAAACATTTTCAATAACATTTCGATTTTAAAAATGGTCTTTAAATTTAGGCTTTTTTTTGATAATAAAAATTCATGAAAACTACATTCATAGAGGCGGGCGGAAAGGAAACCTAGGATTAAATCAGTTATAACTCCGTTCGCCGATTGGTCCACATATTTTATGTTATGTGTGGAAATCTGTCGATAAATCCCAGCTACTCATAAGATCGAGAAGATTATGTTAGCCTATATTGGAATCGGCCCCTTGGTGCTTGTCACAATCCTCGGCGGAGGTTAAATACGCCTATGGAAAGATTTTATACGGTCAACACAATTTCCATGATTTAGTCTTTGACCCGAAATTTATGTTCTTCAATTTTCTTTAAGAATGCAAGATTTGAAGGCACTCCATAGAAAAAATAGATTGTAATTCACAATGTAAACAACATCACAAGGAACCATGGGCTGCATGTGGTAAACTAAAAATTATTCGCGACCAGGTCTTAAACTTTATTTTTTCACTAACCTAAAACCGCTAATAACTCAAGAATATACAAATTCATTAATTATTCCTCAAAGAATAGTTCTTGACAAAAAATAAATTAATAATTGTTTTTGTTTATTTTTGCCAAAAACTCATTGTCAGCATGACAATTTAATTTCTATAAAGGGCCCTATACACTATACACTTCAGCATTCAATCACTATTCCAAAAAATCGATTTTTGTCCCAAAAGTTGAATTTTGGGTCATAAATTCAGTTGTTTTTTTATTCCGCCACAATTCTATTATTTTTGAACACAAAATTATTTACTGACAACATTCAAAATGAATATTATTCACCAGATTGATAGGGTTTCATTTTCAAAATCAAAACTATTTTGATTTTCTTCATGCATTGTGTGTGTCACACATACATAAATAAACTTTCAAAAAATAACAAATACTATGA